CAGTGGTATGGCTAGTGGATTAAAACAAGTAATAATGACAGTAACAATAAAGCACAGAGAAAAAGGTAAAAGTTACATGTCTAAGTGCCATTTCCACATGCTCATATCTCCAAACTTTAAACCTTAGTATACTCTACATGTAATGAATGTTTTAAAAATGTTTTAAATTTTGTTCATGTTTGTGCAGATTTTAGGAACTATATTTCATTTATTCAGAAAGTACTTAAACAATGGTTAAAAAGCAAAATAAATCTGCTTGAGAAGTACTTAACGAAAAAAAAAAGTTGCAGACTCGTACAAACAATAAACACACCCACTCAGATGTTGTGCACAGTTTAGCTCTCCCTTCTTTTGTAGAATTCATGGATTGCATTTGCAGAGAAGTCAGACAAGTAATTTTTCTTTCTTTCTTTCTTTCTTTCTTTCTTTCGTTCTTTCTTTTTCTTTCTTTCCCACCCCAAGTGTTCAGGAGCAATATTTGTCTTTATTTTAGACATGTATTTACATGAAACTAATTTATTACCGTCCCAGCCAGGCAAAGAACCTTAGCTGGAATATAATACCTGTTCAACTGTACAGTTTAGCTATACAAACATGACTTCTATCTACCGATACCCAGGGTACCTTTAATTTGAAAAGTCGTTTTCAACCTAGATGTATACTGGCTCTTGCTAGATATAAGTTTTGTTTGTATAGCAAAACTATATAGTTCTCCAAGTGTTTTTATTGCAGCGAGGGCTCTTTATCAATACTAAAGCTGTAGAACGGCAATTTAGGCTTTTTGTCAATAGAACTGGAATTGTGAATTGGACTTTTTTTTTTTTTTTTTTCTTTTTCTTTCTTCTTTCTTTTTTTTCAGTTTAAATGCAATTTAAATAACTTTTATTGTTACAAGATAAAGGGAGTTAGTTTCCTGTGTGGGTGGATGTGTGTTTGTGTGAGCACAGCAAAGGTCAACTACGCTTACATTGAAATTCAGGTCCATTTAAAGGTACTGATGATACTTGATGTTGAATCAATTTTAATATAATAAATAGATTACAGTTAAGTTTTATTATAAGAGCCGAATATGATGTAAATTTAGATAAAGAGTGTCCTCAAAATCTTTTCTTATCAAGTTTTGGATTTATCAGGAGTTAGTCTTGATTGTGTTTTCCATAAAGTTTTGTCATGCAGGTCTCAAACTGAAAGGCAGTAATGTTACACTGATGCTCTCCTTTTTTGTCATCTAGTTTAACCTTATGTGCTTTTAAATCTGTAATAAAACAAAAAAATACAGTCGCCTTTCTCTCACCTGCAATAGTATATTTTTGTGGTCCCAATTCCCATATAATAATGTATTTTGAAAAAAAAAATGATGATGGGAAAAAGAAGCTGAAAAAAATATGGATGAAGAAAGCAGAAATAAGAATAAATAATTCCATAAAGCAAAATAATGAGTTTTAGTAGTTATACAAGATTGTATGGCTAGGTATTAAATATTAATTACTGTTGTGACTTTCATTTTCATTTTTCACAGTAATATCATCCTCTTTAAGTAAACTTCATTTTAGTTCAGCATGACCTCTTTTTAACAAATCCTTTGCTTCATGATTAAATCATGGTGTCTTCTTGCACAGATTTACTGTATTGGAAATTTTTTACCAATTCCAACAGCTCTAGAAATGTTTACATTACACTTGATGGTCATTCCTTTTAAAAGATACCTCTTAATCTTAGGGAGTGGTGAGATTATGGGATGGTCTTTTTCACCGCCCCTTTAATGATGCACAATACAGCTTTAGCTGCAAAATGTTTTCATTGAAATATATATTGGTTCTTTCATACCAGTTGCCCAGATATGCCAGGCATTTTCCATAGGAACCCTCAAAGAAATAGTATTCCATCCTTAAAACTCCTTATTATACAATACAGCTAATTAAAATTGACAGACGATTTCAAAATAATTAACACTTGATGTAATGGAGTGACATTACTAAGGGGTGGGTGATAGTGAATGATTTTTCACCCTCCCCTCTCAACCCTCCCAATACCTTGCTCATTGTTGTGGGGGAGCTTAGGAAATGGAGACTGAGACCCAATGTAGGGGATTGCCCTTACCTTCAACTTCAGCCCTCACCACAACTCTGAACACTAAAACTACTATCCACTCCTCAATGCCTACTAGTGCATTATTCACCCAAGTCGAGACTCCTACTCTCCCAACTTCCTTAACTTTATCACCTCTACCCCCACAATCTCCATCAATCAACCCATCCTCCCTTATTACTACCTTACAGCCTTATTCTCCACCTTTCCGTAATACTACCCCACTCAACAATACTCCCTCTTCCACATGTCCCCCATCCTTCTACCACCCTGAACTCTACAAATATCTTAAATACTCTATTTAGCCCAGCTAAATGGGACTGACTTTTTGTGATCCACCCTACAGCTCCTTACTCAGGCAACACTCTTCTCTTTCAAAAGAGAAAGCAAAAACAAGTGGGCAGAGTCCCCTTCCATACCTGACCCGATCGTTCCCATCTCGTTACAGTTACATCTGAAACTGAAGCTATAGCATTATCAAATCTAACTAATCTCTCTGGCAACCCCATTCCTGCAGAACCTCATTGAACTCTTAATACTTGTACCAGAACTGTCTCTATCAGTACAGTGCTACTCCATTCCTCCTAGAAGTCATCAAAAGAAATCCACCAATATTGCCAAAATTACTTTCCGTACACATGACTCCCATTCATATCTACATTGGTGGACAATCCCTCCATGTTCGACCATACCAACCTCCACCCCGTCAATGTAAAAACTGTTGTTGCTTTGGACATCCTGCCAAACACTGCCGTTCCACAGACCAATGCCCCTAAGTGTCCAACTCGGTCATAACCAATCAAACTTCTCTGCGCAAGCACGCACATGTGCTAACTGCAGTGGCCCTTATAATGTATTTTATAGAGGGTGCCCCACCTACAAGTTGGAGTCTGAGGTAGCAACTCTCAGATACAAACTTGGTCTCACTCTACGCCAGACAGGAAACACGTCAACGAGGTTTCTCTCATGCTTCCTACTCTAGTAATGTTGCTCCCTCTGCCCCGCCCCTCCTACCCACAATGTTCCTACACCCTCCTCTATACCTACTTACTTACCCACTTCCAATTCTACCTCCTACCTTCCCCAGTCAACTTCTTTTGTCATTCTAAATCCAGACTCTCCAATCTTAACTACAGCCCCAACACCATCCCCTCTCCCTCCCTGCACTACCCGCAGCATACAGACTAAACATTCCACCCCTTCTTCCCCTACCACACACTCACTTCCACCTACCTTTGCCTTTATTCCTCAGACACCAGTCTCCTTTTCCCCTCCTCATAAGAAAACCTTTGTCTCACAAGACTCTCCAACCAACTCCACTGGAGAATATATGGAAGATATTCAAAACCATATGCTCGACATAATTACACAACTCATGTTCCTTCCACACTTGAAGTGACTGCCGATATCCATTCTCCTACTTATATCCCCCAACACCACTTCCTCCTACTCCCTCCCAACACAACCTATCCCCCTAGCTCCATCTACTACCGATATTCATATTCCCCCTACTTCCCTTCCTCCTATTCTCTCCCAACAAAACCTATACCCCTCAACTCCGTCTACTACCAATATCCATCCTCCACCTACTCATATTCCACCTACACCCCTCCCTCCTACTCCCTCCCAACACAACCTATCCCCCTCAACTCCAACTACTGCCGATATCCATCCTCCCGACACCCATCCTTCTCCTATTCACATTCCTCCTACTCCCTCCTGTCACACCCAGCCCTCTCAACTCCAACTACACGTACATTCTCCCTCCCTCCATCCCCTCTATCATTTCCACTCCCTCCTGGATACACATGTGAATCCCTTATGTAATTCCCTTACCTAGACCCACTATAGCACATTCACACATCAACTCCTTTACCCATCTTTATCCTTTCAAGATTACCCTAGATAGTTGACGCATAGCAACTATCACCCGTCATCCCTCCTTTAATATACTTTCCTATAGTGCTACATGACTTTAGATGTCTAGCACATTTATTTTTGCTTTTTAACCATTAACCATTAACCACAACTAATTTTGCTTGGGTCTTTTCTTCTCCCCCTTTGCTCTTCCATATCTTCATTCCCTTCTTCTAAGGTGTGAGAGCTGTGCTGAAAGGATGAAAGGCTGGCTTTATGTCAGTCATGATCTGCCTCCAGGAGCCATGGGCACTGGATTCTCTTGGCTAATTGCCTAAACACCTTATGTGGACCCTGAAGAGTAGAACATTTCTTTTTCCCATTTTATTCATGGCCAATAATGAAGATTCTTTACCCCAAATAGGGCCATTAAGGCTTACCCCTTCATCAACTGGCCTACGTGAATTCAATTTTGATGATTTTCCAATCCCTGCTATACTTTGACCACAGCTCTACGCACTGATACTAATACCCTCTCCTCGGTGTTTACTGTCAACTCTATCCATTCTGAACCATCCACCCAGGTTATTACTTAACCTCCAGAATTCATCTTTTCCTCTCTCCTAACACTCTCTTCTCCATCTCCTACTGCACAGTCTTCTTCAATATCTATCCCCTCTTCCCTAATTACTACTCTCATCCCCCCAGACTCTTCTTCTGCTTCTTCTCCAATAACCATCTCTACCCAGTGATTATTTCATAATAGCTCTTTTACCATTTTTTCCTTAAAGCAATGTTCCTATAGCCTCCCCAGCAATTGCCCTATACCCTTAACCCTTTCCTTTATTAATCTCCAATTTACTTCATTTGCACCCCCTCCTTACCTTTTTCCCTGTCATACCATCCTGCAACACTATAAGCTTTGACAGCTAACACTATCCTAATTATTAATTCATATACCCTTTTTACCACAATACTTTACCATAGTGCTACATGACCTTAGATGTTTAACACATTTGTTTGTTTCATCCATTAACCATCTCAACTCTCAAGGCTCTTGATGAAGAGATTGATGCTTGATGCCTGACAAAAAGGAAAATATTGGACATTTAATAGAACAAACAAATAAATTAATTACATATACAATTTTGAATGACATACATGATTGTGCTAGTGCAAAAGCCTAACATAAAACTGGTATCCCTAGACCGTAAGATACCAGGTTTTTGTTAATTTTGTTAAAAGGTAGAACATTTTTTTTCCATATTTTTTCTTTAAACCTATATTAAGCAGACTCATGAATGCATGTAAGGTAATATATAGGCATTGTGTTTGTATATGATTAGACATTTAATTCTAAAATAAGATAAAAGGTAATCATCTGAAGGGATACATTACAAGCACCTGCAACCCTTGCTCACTCCTGTCATGGGGGGTGGGGTGGGGGGCTTAGGAGACAGAGACTGAGCCCCAAAATAGGGGATCACCCCTACCTAATTTTGCATGGTCTTTTCTTCTCCCTCTTTCCTTTTTCTTCATCCCCTTCTTTCTACATCCTAAAGTGTTAGCCATGCTGAAAGGAAGAAAAGCTGGCTGTATGTCAGTAATGAACAGCCTTTGTACTTCATTTGCTCTTCCTTCTTTACCCTTTCACTACCAAACTAACCTACAGCCCTCTCAAATCTTTGGCATCTAAAATATTTCGTCCTAATCGTTCATGCATTTTTACCCTTTTCCCTACAATACTTTATCATTGTGCTATATATGACCTTTCCTTACCTGGAAGCTTTGCCCCCAAGCCTCACCCTATTGCTTTATTTTGAATACCTGCTAATGACCTTAGATGCTGATGCAGCAGAATTTTTTCAATAAACAATAAATAAATACATCATAATTTTGGGTGTTACACAACACCCTAATTGTCTAATTGGAAAAGATGTCAGATGGCATCTAATACAAAGCCTTGTATGTAATGATTAGATGCATCCTTCAATCTAGAATGACAGCTTCTTGCACATAAGAGTTGAATTGAAACGTGCTAATTTCCACTTCTCCATTTCACTAAGATAATATTTCTACAAAAGAAATATTTTCGAATACTAAATGTCCATAATTTTACAACTATATTTATTGAGTATTTAGTACTGAGCAAATTAAAATATTTGATTCAATTGTCATAATAATAACTGTATTTTTGTGGTTCACAGAAACTTCCTACTTTCATAACATGAAATTTCATAAAATTAACTACTAACTAATCTGCTTCCTTTCTTAAAAGTTATATAAATTATATTCATATCTACAACTGAACACTGCAATGCTAACAACAACAA